GGCCCGTGACGTCCCCAGGCCGAACGCAGCCTTGGCGCCCGGCCCGCCTCCCGCCGCCGCCTCCCGCCGCCGCCAGCCTGTCTGGGTCCCATGGGGACACGCAGAGCCCGGAAGGGCCCGCGACGTCCTCAGGCAGGACGCAACCTTGGCGCCCGGCCCCTATTCTAATTATTTTTATAAAACAGTCAATTGCCATTTCTCGTTTTGCTTGTAAAAATACCTTGCCCTTCTTGAAACACCTCCCAGACCAATCCAGTTAAGAATACTATACATGTCATCATCAACAGTTTATAAGCCCTCTCTATTTCTCACTAACATCCTGACTCTCTCTTGTTCACTTGCTATCCCCTTCTATCCTCTTCTCCTCACTCACCCCACTCCACATTGTCCCACTCACATTAAGTACTTTCACTGATTTTCATGTCCTCCGATTCATTGCTCTCTACTATAGAATGCGGATAGTCGGCGTATATTGAGTGGATATGTACAATATCTTTCTTTCATAGCCTGGCTATTTCACTCAGCAATAGATCCTCCATACCAGCATGTTATCATCAACAATATTCCCTTTCTACTTTCATACCATGTATACATACATATATGTTTTTTATCCTATCTTTGACCCTCTGCCCCTTCCCCCTCTCCCATCACACCATCTCTGCTATATACAGTCATCTTCCAGGGGTACCATTGAAAATATGATACCTGTAAGCAAAGGGGGAAGGGCCACAAGTTTAGTTTTCACCAATAGGGATCGTAGATTCCATTTCATGGTAGATCAAGGGTGGGTCTCGTGCGGATCCGCCACTGTTGGAATGGTGCCGTGGGGCTCTAGAGCGTGAGCTATCCTCGGGTACCAGGCTTCCTCAAGAATGGTAGAATAGTTCTTGTTCTTCCCTGAGGCAATGCAGGGCTGGCAACCATCATCCTCTCACCGTCCATAGGCCGAGGAATTCTCCGGTATCTGGCTTCCTCAGGAATGGCAGAGTAGTTCCTGTTCTTCCCCGAGGCAATGCAGGGCCGGCAACCATCATCTTCCCAAGTTGCAAGTTCCCAAACCTTGTTCTCCGCTTCAGCTTGCTGATCCAAAGGCCACACGCCGGCCCTGG